GAAATGTGGTCAGATTTACTTGGAATTGAGAAAGTAGGTATCACCGACGACTTCTTCGAAATGGGTGGTGATAGTATAGGTTCACTTCAAGTAGTGGCTCGAATTAGAAAGGAGCTGGATATTTCCATTTCTCCAAAAGATGTGTTTTCGTTCAGCACAATCAAGAGCCTGGTTGAAAACGTGTTTGTAAGGCGTTGTAAAAAAGAAATCAAAAGTTCATGTGTTCCGAATCCGGAAGAACCTCATGCCTACAGTGGACGTATGCCGTTGTTGCCAATACAACAATGGTTCTTTTTGAAGCGTTGGACCAATATAAACCATTGGAATCAGTCGTTTTTAATTGAAACTCCTGTGTTGGAGCTGTGGAAGCTGGAAGAGTCAGTGAATAAGTTAATTGATTATCATGATGTATTCAAGTTGAGATTTAAGCAAATTGATGGTGGAACGTATATTCAATACTATGAAACATCTGCTAATAATGAGAAGACGTTTCGAGTGAATCATGTCGACGTTCGAAGTTTGGGACAAAATGAAAATATGGATGAATTATTGGAAGCGATTTTGACCGAGTGGCAGAGTCATTTCAATATTGAGAATGGTCCACTTTTTGGTGCTGGGTATCTTTATGGTTTCGCTGAAGGGAAAGCTCGAATCTGGTTTGCAATGCATCACTTGATTGTGGACACAGTGAGTTGGCGAATAATCTGTGAAGACCTGAGACGTCTTTATGAAGGATCGTTTCATTTTGGAAGGAAAGGCAGCAGCTACGGACAATGGTCACAATTAGTTCAGTCGTATGGAATACAAAAGTCGATAACTGAGGGAATTTATTGGCACAATGTTATGAGCCATGTGTCCACGTTTAACGACTGTTTTAGAAAACACGAAGCTGTAAATAAAAACAGATTAGTGGCGACGACGAGTGGTTTTACAATGACTCCAATAGAAACATCTTGTATATTAAGGGACTGTCCGCGTGCTTATGGAGCACATATTAATGTGCTGCTTCTGACTGCAGTTGGTTATGCTCTTAAACAAATAACAGAAACTCGAATGAACTATGTGACATTAGAAGGTCATGGTCGTGAAGATATTGATGGCGGCAATGTGGACATCAGTCGAACCGTAGGCTGGTTTACAACAATGTATCCGGTCTTATTGGAAATTGACGACGATCTAGTGAGTAGTATAGGGAATGTCAAGGTGCATTTAATGGAAGTGCCTAATAAAGGCATTGGCTATGGCCCAATAATTGGCTACAAGAACCAAGAATTACCACGCGTTAGTTTTAATTATCTTGGACAGTTTGAAGCAGTACCATCGATCAAAGCGAGCAGAAGCAATAATACTCGACGATGGTATTTAACCGAAGGAGTTGTTGGAGTTGGAATGAAAGACGACCAAGTAGAGAAGACCGATGACGGTGACATGGTTGCTGTGAACGGATTTTGCATGCAAGGCCGCATACGATTCGATATTACGAGTAGACTTAACTCTGAAAAAACATCGAATTTCATCAATGAATTTAAATCGAAACTCGAAGATATCGTTCGCGAGTGCTTTACTGTTAAGCCTCTGATTCAAATTGATTATTCAAATGATTTTGAGAGTCCGTTTGTTTTATTGAATGCTGACTCTGATAATACTTTGTTCATTTTGCCACCTGGTGATGGTGGTGCTGAGAGCTATTTCAATAATATTATTCCTCATTTATCAGCATATAAACTGATAATATTCAACAATTATTATTATAATCTTAAAGAAAAAAATATGGAAAAGGGTTTGTCATTTGAAACATTAGCTCGCTTATACATACAGTATATTAAACTAATTCAACCTAACGGTCCGTATAACCTTTTCGGTTGGAGTTTTGGTGGAGTTCTATCGTTCGAAATTTCTCGCCAATTAAATAATACTGGGAACGACATTGCCAATATATTTATGATAGACTCTTACTTTAACATGAAGAAGGCTTGTATTGAACTTGGCCAAATGCATGAGGAAGATATAATTGGGGAAATCAATAAATTATATCTGCCGCAGATAGACAATGAGACGTTCTGCTTAAGCATAGCCAATATGAATATCAACATCGTTTTGTTTAAAGCTACCAAGGTGGATAACGATGCTTCCTTACAAGGTCAATCAGAATTATTCAAATACTACACAAATATACCATTTAATGGTCTAGATACACTAGTGAACCCTAAATATATTCGACTGATTGAAATGCCTGATCAAACTCATCATTCTTGGATGTTAAATCAAGAGCAAGTTACCAAAATTTGCCATTATTTAGCAAGTGTTTTAAAATAATAGATAAACAAGGTAAATAAACTGACCTGTCAAGTACATCGAAAATTATTAAACTTATTAAAAAAAGGCTTTTGATTTACTTTAGTCTACTTGCCCATGAAAAGCTTGTATCCAATCATCAATACATAATTTTGTGGAATACACAATTTTAATCTTTTTTCAGTCCTTTTATGTAGCTTCTTCTTAGTTCTTGCTTTTTGATTTTATTATCCACAAATAATAATAAATAAAAATAATATTATAAATGGAATACTATAAACACATGCAAAGAAACAATAAACGAGGTACTACATTACTTATTACTACATAACTAATCAAGATTGTTATTGTTATGAATCAAATTCGTTATATATCATCGTCGAAGAATAGTATATAGCTTTACAGGAATAGATACTATAACATGTGAATAGCTACCATGATCTAGATTCCGTGGGTGTGAGTGTCACTTCCCGTAGCTCAAATGTAAACCCACGATAACACCGACACCGACATCCACACCCATACCTACACCCACACCCGCTTCTGAAGCTTTTTTTGTCGTTATCCTAGCAGAAACTCAAATGACTAGAAAAAGTAGTAAAGAGATAGAAGAGAGTGAGTTTAATCAACTTCGCTGAATTCGATCAGATTCAAGTATCCTTCCTTCACCCACGTAGCCAGATGGCTTGCTATGCGGTCTTTGTCTAGTGTCAGATTAGGATAAAGTTCAGATAGCAGTTGGATATAAGCTTCTAGATCTTGTTTTTGTTTATCGAGCTGTGTATAAGCTTTGTACACAAGATCACCTGCAGACAGTCTGAGTTCTTCGTGAACGCTTCCTTTCTTTGACACCACAATTCTCATCCCTTTGCCGGCTTTCATTGCAATGTTCATCTGCTCGAGGGTCTGGATTCCCCCGCCTACAACGATGAACCGATCACTCAAGGCATCAGTAAGATCGTTGTCATCCCCAAACTCTGTATTACGCTCCGAAACGTCAAACAAGTACGTCAAGTGTTCTGGCAGCACTTTGGAATCCATGTATTCGAATGAACTATAAACAAGATTCCCCACAGCCAGCTTTCTGAATTCAGCGTGATTTTCCAAAATGTCGTTAACCACACCGTTGACCCCTTTTCCCGTTACACCGTATACAAGAGCAGTTTCTTCTTGATTAAGATATTCCATAAGAATTTCCTTTAGATATTTAGTCACTTCTGTCCTGTGTTCAGCACAACTTCCAATAACTTGCACAAACTTCTTTTCGATTCCAATTTTTTCCTTGATAGTATCTCTGGTTTTATTAAAGTCTATCTCTTTTGCTTTCTTGTTCGATACAAAGTAGACATATGCTTGAAAATATGGGATTTTTAGCTGTTTTTCCTCCCACGTTATGTCCTCATTCTTCATGGCTTCCGTACCATCAGTCACAAATTGCTTCAAAGTACTCATCAGGATTGCAAGATCTTCTTCCATGATGTATCTGAAAATAGAGTACGCATACAGGTCGAAAGAAATAATTTTCATTAATCTCCTCCTTACAATTTCTATAAATAATGAGATGTAGAGATGTCTATGAAAAAGGCGCCCATTGTTTCATCCCTTTGAGAGTTAAAATGACGTCCATATCCATGCACGAATTACTCTAATGTGAAGTATACGTCCATTAAATAAAAATAGAATAATGTAAAAGTATAAAAGTGAAAGATTCAAGGACACGAGATTGTAAGAAGAATCAGTAGAAGGGGAAAGGATGAATAGAGCTTATTTGGAACAAAACAAATTTTATAGAAAAATGGATCCAAATATGAGTTACATCCGTGAACAGAAGTCTTTTCTACCTCTTTATTTCTTTGCTATCAAACTTTGTATAAAATTTATTGCCAAGTAGAGATATGACTAGAGAGTTTTATTTCAGTATGCTATACAGATCACAGTACAATAAAACTCCCAAGTCTTATCTCTACTCGTCAATAAATTTATACAAAGTATAATAGAAAAAAAACGAATGACTCTTGTGAGAGGCTGTAATTTCGAAAAGCGTATATAAGACATCCAACAAGAATCATCTTTTTAAAGTGAGCCCCACAAGAAATAATTAAATAGCCTGTGTTTTGTTCCCTTTTTCACCAATTCTACCAAACATTAATGAGTTTAAAGAACTAATTATAAGTTAAGTGAATGAAAAATGATCCTAATCGATATAAAGTTCAAAATTAAAATAAAAAAATTTCTAAACTAGTAAAGAACTGTTAAAACCAATTCAATCAGAAGAAAAATGCAATCGTGAAACAACAATATCAAAAAATACTCAGGAAACGGTTCACTCTCTTCTGTTGCAATTCTTTAGTGGTTTCTTAAAACCCATTTGTATCTGTTTTTTTATATTTTTCAATAAACAGCGTTGAAGAGACTAGTAAAATGAACTATGTGTAATTATCTTTCTGTTTTTCTTTGTTTCGTTTACTAAGACAGACCTTTTTATTGCTTGTTTATTAAAAACCCAAGTTTTAAAAATTTGAGAGTGAAAAGCTTTGCTTTTTCGCAAATAAAGTACGTGACACTATCGTATTTTCCTACTTTTTCTCCTGACTTTGTAAGCAAAGTTTCCTGAACAACTTCTCCTTTTCAACGAAAACACCTTGATTTTTATAATTTAGATTTTGCAACCATGAACTACACCAACACCCTTCACCACAATTTAGAACTACATCGGTGGATAAGAGTTTTCTTCTATACAATCATTTATATTCAAGAAACACGGAAAGAATATTGATTTTTATTAGCGAATTTCAAATGAGAAAAATGTGTTCTTAGAGCTTGCTATCAATGGATGGCATCTTTTCTGTAGCTCCAAAAATGTTTAAACAATTATATATTATTATAGCCATTAATGAAATTACATATTCAGATGAATTTCTTTTCGTTATTTTTATAAGACGATTTGTCGCTCTATTAGTATAAGTTTGTTTATTTGTGGCTCAACCTGTTGCATGGATTCTTCTCAATGATAAACATGCACAAACGTATATTCTGGTTTTTAAATCAGTGAAGAAAGCTGCTTTAAGATTGAAATTGGAATTAAAACCTGAACAATTTATAACTGACTTTGAAAGTGGAATTATTAAAGCAATACGAAAAGAAGTAGGTAGCTATTTTTGAGAGTGTGGGTGTAGATGTGGATGTCGGTGTGAGTGGGTGTGGATGTGGCTATAATCGAAGCTAATTCTCACCCACACTCGTACCCAGCCGCACGGCTTACTACTCTACGTATAGGGAATAAATTTTCATTTAGTTTTTTACTCTCTTCTTTTTTTTTAGATATTATCAACACTTAGAATGGCTTTTCCGTTTCCATCGTATTCATCTTTGTTTTGGATAATTAATCTTTTGATTTATATATATCATATTGTTAATGGATATTAATCGTTTACATCGATGACAACTTATTTATTTTACAGTAATAAACTGGTTATTAATATATTATCGTATTTATGTTTGGTATTTTGTTAGTGGGCTTATTGTATGTGTCATTCAAGTTCATTATTAGACATAACAATATCGATCAATTACATTAGCCGTAAAACATTATATATTAAATAGATTCAAGATGAATCACAAAAGAATTCAATCAAAAAGAATTGTTGGTTTACCTAATCTTAAACTATTTAGTTCATATCGACATATACGCATTGACCGTTTTACAGATGCAGAAATAATCGACGAAATATTAACTGAAAGAGGAACAACTAGTTGATATAGTCTCGTGATGTCGAATAGTTCTAATAGTTGTGAAATGTTGATACAAATTCAATTTATTAAGAAATTAGAGCCATTATTTTAGTGACTGAGATCCAGCCAAATTACCCTTCGATTTCACTAAATCGAATTTATGTTTGGGGTGACACGATTAACAAGGTTTCATTTTATGAAGAGTTCGGATTTTATTTGTACAGTGAATATCATAGAATGCTTGTAGATATTCAAGAGCAGTTCAAAATTTGGTATAATCGAACTTTTCTACACAATATCAACTGTAACCAAATTATTCATTATAACGACATCAACGGATCACTATATTATTGTGCATATAGACTAAAGTGTTTTAGCTAAGAGCAGAGACATTCTCACTCACCCACTCTCAAGAATCACTCAATAATCGACTTAATTCCTCATGCTGATCAAATGAAGGAGTTCGTTCATATATTTAAAGCAGTTTATCGATGATATGAAAAAAACAAAACAGAAAAAAATAAATAAAAAAAGAATTTATATTCGACAAAACTGAGTATTGTCTATGTTCAACAAACAAATCTTCTTTGTTATCTAAAACAGAAGTTTTGAAGAAGATTAGTAGTAGTAGCCCGATGTTTATCAAATACAACGAAGTAGTCATTAGACTAATTTAGATGTTGGTTTAGAGCTTTCGCTTGTCACTTTCTTTTATCAATGAAAAAATCGTGCATTCTTGGTCAGATTAGTTTTGAATAGCAATTGTCGTAATGCAAGATAGATATTCTATACTTGACTCGAATGGCTTCTAAAGAAAACAGAATATTATTCATAATTAAGAATTTATAGTAATATATTTGTAGTATATAAAAGAGGTGGGAAGATCATACTACTATCAACGCAATCTTGGACGTCTGACCACCATTCCAGATGAGATATCATTCGATAATTTCTCTTAGAAACAACAAAGTGTGTAATGTATATTTGAATCCACTCAGTTCCAGCTACGTACCGTGAAATATATTGAAACGTTCGGAATCTAAAGCTGGTGGTAAAATCGAACAATTCAATTCTTGTAACGTAAATAGGAATTTCAAGATTTGTCTGCGTAATCGTATATGTCTCGACCACGAATTTCTAGAAGATTTTTATCTTTATGTATCTAATAAAAGTACAAGTTGAATAATAAATAAATAAACAAATATTGGAGAGCACTCACAATTTGTGTAGGTAAGACTTGGTCCTTTTCTCGATATGAAACTAAATTTTGACGAACCTAAAGTCGAAATCATTACTTTCATCTAAAATATTCGATATAAACATTAGTATATGACAATAAAAAATAAATCTGAATGCTTGTAATATGATCAAGCAGAATGATATGAAGAAATATTACCCTCTGGATCACTAATGGTGTTCTTTTCATCTGATTGCAATTGTTCATATATAGTGTTACATTTACTATAAGTACCTGTAATCAAAACAGAAATCATTCATTAATTTACCATAATTTTCAAAATAATATTAATAGATATGATTCTATTATCGCAAAGCGACGTTTTGGACCGGTTCCAACAGTTGCTCGATCTTCAAAACGGATCAAATAATTTTTTTTTTTGATATAAAGGTCATAACAAGAAACAAATTTTTTAATCATGTTCATGGTATGCAGAAATTTCTGTTACAATTAAATGTTGTTGAAATTCAAATTTAATGCAGTGCTTAATCATATTATCGACGTTAATGGTTTTTCTAGTAAAATAAAATAAGATGATGTTCTAAAAAAATAACTAAAGTTTTGGTTTTGTATATGGCGGAAGAAGAGCATAATTCATGATGACAATTGAGAAAATTAATATAATTCTACCAAAATAATTAATATGATCATTTGTTAACTTACAATACGAAACAAATTAGCTAGTTTGATTTTTCTCTTTCATTATATATCAAAGAATGAAACATGTTATTACGAATTAAATATCGTCGATGAATAGATATACAGTGTAAAGGATTTAAACATGTACATATTTTGTCATGATGTTGTATAGTCATAGGATAATTGTAAATGAAAATCAATAGAGTAATAATGTACTATAAAGTCAGAATAATAATTTGAACCATGAGTATTTTACTAATATGACCTATGAGATCTTCTTGATAAAAACAACCAATATTCGCTAATGAGCCATAATTTAAATACTATGCACCAAAATGACAATGTATATGTAATACGTAATTTTGAATATCAGTACAAAATAATTCGTGATCTTTGTAATATTAAATAAATAATTTACCAAGTTTTACTTGTGTTTCATTACTAAATATTGGAAGTTGTGAATGATATAATCTCGTTGAATAAACAGAGAAAGCAAAATGACCAAGTTGTTGAATATTAATAAAATACAATGATAAAGGAAGAAATTCATGGAATAGCATATTTCGTATTTTAGTTGCTTTTATAAAAAAAAAACTCTTTGAAAGGTTCGTACTATTGTAGACTCATATGCAATTCTAAATGAATTGATTATCCCAATAAATCTTAATGAAAAACTTGGGTTTCATTATTTATCGCTTTTCCTTCAATAAATAATAATAACTGTTATGTTTTTTATCTCGATTCTAATTCAAAAGAAATACCATTTTCAATAGTTAAAGTATCAATCCAATAAAATATAATAACTCATAAATCTCAGATAAATTTTACAAACTGATGCACACACTTGTGGAGTTCGGATTGTGACATCTGTCATACAATGATTAGATACTAAAAAAAACATTGATATTGAATGTGAAAAAAAGACTTCAACAACGTGATCTCTGTGATCTAAACTCTAATTTTATACAAAATAATAATTCTGTTTAAGATATTAAGTCACACTAAATTTTTATAAACATTTCTTATTTGAAAAAAAAATGTAAATCACGCCTTTTTTCTATTTAACAATTTAATTAAGAGGTTTGCCTTTCTTATTAGTTTCATTTCTCATTTGAACATTCGCTGACTACATAGAAAAAGATAAGAAATTTCTAAAACATCAAACAAAAAATTCAATACGCTTCATGGATACATCCAATCTATTACACAGCTGTTTCCGAAGGAAAAAATGCACAATTATGCAAGTCTCGAACTGCAAGTGAAATCAAATTTAACTCAACGTGTCGTTTTTTTCTTTCAAAAAATTTCAAAAACATCTCATTCTAAAAGAACTTTACATGTATCCTTAGTTTTATGTGATTATATGGCATCAAAAACAACAACTCTACAACCACAACCTGCCGATTTCGAACAAATACAAAATGATAATGAAAATCTTAATATAACTGGTACAGTTGTACATATGAATGATCCAGTCATCGTTGATAAATTTGATGAAAATGCCCAAAAAATATATTGGTATTGCTATCTGGTGATTTACTACATGAAGTTAGTAATACAAATATACAATCAACATCAAAATCTCAAGTTAAATGTATGATATTTCTATTTCTATAACTTGCAACTTCATTGAATATGATGACGATCCAATCGATCTAACAAAAAATAAAAGGACAAGTTTCAAGTTGCAAAATATCAATTTGGATCTCTTGTCCTAAATGTAAGAACCGAATAGATTCAAATCACGATTAAAGGTAAATATTATTTCGATTCAATTTTTTAATTTTCTTATTACATATGAAATGTTTGAATGTGCATATACTTACATAGATAAAAATGGAACTCAACATTACTTAACAATCTATAAAGATCATACCAAATGTCGATGCTATTAAAATTAATTTGTTTTTTTAAAATGATGACTTATTTGAATTTACTATTAATTGTTGAACATTAAACGTCATTCATACAAAAAAGTATTTTAAATATTGTCTTGATTCCTCTTATATATTTTTTGTATTGACAAATTCAATAAAACAGATTAATAATTACATCTATTTATTCTTCTGTAACAAATAACAAAACAATGTACTATCTTGAGGGTGTGGGTGTAAGTTTCCGTTTTGAATTCACACCCAAATCGATTTCATCACCATTACGTGATAATCCAAACTTGTACGCTTTAATCATATTTGATGCAGTGTCAGTTACTATTTTGTAAAGTTTGTCTTTGATATTGAAACAATCCAGAATATGTTCATTTGTATGAGGAGACTTCAAACGTACAAAATCAGTTAAATATGATTATGGTTCCATTTTGTTATCAATGAAGTGGCCTGTTATACCTAAAAAACGATCGATATTTCCTGTTCGATGATCTATCAATAGCTAATGCTTCATAAATAGTTTTATTCATCTTTTCTACAAACGAATCGATTGCATCATGTTTCAACCTTTTGACTGAGATTGGATCCCATTTAATAGAACATTATTTTAAAAAATCACGAAATGCATTATTTTCAGCTAAGTTGAGAGGTAAATTGCATTTAATAATTAGAGATATAGCAATAGCCATATTTATTCGATTCTGTTTAGATTCAGATGATGATAATTCCAGTAATGGCTGATCATCATTTTCAAGAATAACATTTTTTAATAAAACATTATTATTTTTGGAATTAAGTTGCTTATATTGTCGTGGATGTTTTCGTTTTATATGCTTTAAGAAATTACTGTATAGTCCATTTTTATCTTTGTAATTTTGATCACATAGTTTGTAATGACCCTTCATTCGATTCTTTTCAATACATGAAAATTCAAAATATTGTTTTCAGTGTTCATCAGTCATCCGTTGTTTACAACGATATGACGAAAATATTATCCATAGAAATAAAATGGTTTTTACAAAAGTTATTAGCCGGTATTATAACTAAGGTTCTAACAAACGAAGTTATTGTCGTGTGTTTGCATGAATACGTCTTTGAAACATATAATCTTTTAGCTTTTATCTTGGGCACTGAATTTTATATATTATTCGTTACAAAAACAACATGAGTATTTCTGATTCATTGGAGAGGCGTTAGTTAAGCGCTTCGTTAATTAGATCCGAGTAATTTAATTGTAAAGAATCAGTTTCATACCTAATTGATACTTCATTTTAGTTTGCGTAGATATTATCTTGGAATATTCAATCGACTCAGATTGTTTTTTTTCCTAACTGAAGTGAGCCGCATTGCTTGGGATAGGTCGATAGATTGACTTTATACAAGAGAAAGAATTTTTCTATCATATCAGATATTGATTTTAAAGCATAAGTATTCAATAATAGAGTGCATTCGGGTAAGAATACTCGGACATTGAAAAATGGTGTTTTTTTTATTAATCATTTTCAGAAAAAGCTATGGTTTTCTTCTGTGTAAGATAAAGGATTAACGATTATCCTATTATGTTTAATATGATGATCATTAAAATTATATTATTAGATACAGTTTTTCATGCTCTTTTGCTTTTTTAACCCAAAGAAGGGCGAAAATTTGTTTTCATATATAAATCTTTGTAGAGCTCAATGAGCCCTATCAAACCATATATTTGAATAGAAAGAGCACGCGTGTGCGTACAGAGAGAATCTGTTCTGGAGTGGTGAATGTGAGTATATGGTATATGTTGTCAGTATTGCAACCACACCCTCAAGATGGTGACTACTTCAAAAATAAAAAAGATTTTTTAGGTTCGTATTGTCGATCAGTATCATATATATCGGCAAGTTTGTCTAACAAATAATGATTACGTCTACAGTAGTCCATTGTGATGACTTGATAAAAAAAATAAGAAAAAAAAAGAAAGCTACCGTTTTGCGTTTTTCTTATCAATAGTTATTCTTTTATTCTTTCTTGTCTTATATACTGCTTATCTTTTTCCAATGTATTGGTTGACACATATATATAAGAAAAAAATTACTTTTTCAATATATAACTATACAATATTTTACAATGAAATTCGACGATTTTTTATATACAATTAATGATTTTGGTCGTTATCAAAAGTTAAGTTTATTTTTTATAGGTCTCATCTATTCAATAACACCTAGCAAGTCCATTGTTTATTAGTATTTCTTATGAATAAAATACTTTTATTTGATTTAGTTGTGGTTTATACGTGGTCATTCGCAGCTGCTACACCATCATTTCGTTGTAAATTACATGAAAATGACAATATTTATTCTATGAATACATCAAACAATTTTCAATGGAGTCAACCAGATGAAATCTATTGTAAAACAAATATGAAAATATCAGTAAAGGAATGTCAACGATGTTATATCAAAACAAAACTCGATACGAAAATTAAACCATGCGAAAATTTTATTTTTGATCAAACATATTATGATTACACACTTGTTGAAGAAGTATACGACAAATAACTATATAAAATTCAATATAAAACTTTAATTTTTTTATTTATTAGTGGTCAATGGTATGTGATCGAACCGTATTTCGATCAGCTGTACAAAATGTTTTTTTTCTCGGTTATATGATTGGATCAGTTTTCTTTGGAATCATAGCAGATAGGTAAGATCTTTTTCAATGAAAATAAAATAATGCTCCTGTTCCGAAACGAGATATCACATCTACTGATAAAATAGTTTTCTATGTTGGTCTCTTCATTCGAAGAAGATTCTTACTGAATTATAATATTAAGTTTGAAAATTCTTTGTAATAATGATAGTTCTGATGCTTTCTATTATTAAGATATGGTCGTCGTCCTATTATAAGTGCTTGTCTATTGTTAACGGCATGTTCAGGATTTATTTGCGCATTTTTCCCACAGAAAACTATATTTGGATTTTGGCCAAGTTACTTAGGATATACATTAGGTCGTTTTATATTGGCTTGTGCAACTAGAGGACTTGGCATTGCTGGATTTGTATTAGGTAAATACATTTATTTTAATATTTATTTATTTATTTTCCTGATATTTTCTAGGCACTGAATTAGTTGGTCCAAAAAATAAATTTTTAGCAGGAATTATTCTTCATTATTGTTTTCCACTTGGTCAATTAGTTTTAAGTCTTTTTGCTTATTATATTCGTGAATGGAGACGTTTAACATTGGCTTTATCTCTATTTACAATACCATTTATATTTTTACATTTGTATATCAAATATTTTTAAATCTATCAATATAGATTATGAATATATAATTTAGTGTAATACCGGAATCAGCAAGATGGATGATTAGTAAAGGACAATATGAAGAAGCAGAAAAACAACTTAGAAAAATTGCAAAAACAAATAAGAAACCATTTAATGAAGAAGCATTTCAAAGAATGATCGCTGATCAAGAAAAAGTATATTAGAAATGATATTAAACATTACCTTTACAATATTTCCATTCCATATATTTATCTTTTATTAGAGTAGAACTACTACAACACAACACATTGGTATATTATCTTTATTTAAATCAAAAATAATGTTTATCATAACTATGAATTTGTTTTTTCAATGGTAATGTGATTGGTTTAAAATACCAATTCAAATGAAATTCAATAAATATCTTCTTTTATTTGAAGGTTTGTACAAAATTTATCATATTATGGAGTTTCACAAAGTACTGGATCGTGGGGTTTCGATCCATATTGTAAATAAATTAAGAATAATAAATTTTTTTGAATTGATCTCTTTGTTATTTTTAGTATCATTTGCAATCTCGGCTTGTGTAGAAATTCTTGCTTATATAGGTATACATTTAACATTAAATCGTATTGGACGAAAAATTCCATATTTTACTGCTGTATTTTGCTTTTTTATTATTGCAATATTCACAATATTGGTACAAAATTTTCAAAGTAAATTTAAAACTTGTAGAAATCAATTTATTATAATCGGGAAATATATTATTTAGATCCACGAATTTTAACATTTATATTAAATATATTATCGAAATTTTTTGTATCTGCGAGTTATGGAACTATTTATATTTATGCAAATGAATTATTTCCTACTCGAGTACGAAGTACAGGAATGGGAATGTGTTCAATGGCTGCACGTAAGAAAATTCTTGATTTAAAAAAAAAAGTAGATTTTAATAATATTCGTTACGAATATTTAGGGGTTGGAGCAATAGTAGCAACAACAAGTAATGATATGTTGGTATGTATTTATTGACTTATTATTTCATATTGTTCATGTTATATATTTCGGCATTTTTTTCTTGAAATATTTCTAGACTCGTCTATGGATCAATCTTCCTACTGTATTGTTTGGTGGTTTATCACTTCTAGCAGCTCTCGTCATTCTTATATTGCCAGAAACATTAAATAAAACTTTACCACAAACAATTGAAGATACAGAACAAATGGGTTTAGTTTGGTATGTATCAACATCCTGTAACTACGGATAGCTACAACTAAATCTATTTCTGTTAGAAAGGATATAGGAAAAATTTTACTAACACCATTTATATTCAAACTCGAATTAGACAATTACTCTTAATGATTTTCTTTTATTTCTATGTATTTAGCATCCGTGTGCGTGATGGTCGACACAAGCGAAAAGCAGAACGACAGACTGACATTACAAATGATCATTATTCAACTGAAGATAACCTATTAAGTGAACAATTAAAATCAATTGATGAACATCAGATCTGATACAGGTCATTGATTTAAATTGAAAATAAAGTAGTTCATACAGAAGAAAATACATATAGTTATTCTTTTATAATAATAAATAAAGATTGACTGTTTTCTATATCTTATAAAGAAGTGAGTAATAGATTCAATAAAAAAATAAAATTTGTATGTGTTTGTCATAGTGAGTCCTTTCTATTGATTCTTGTGAATCTGATTCGATGTTTACAGATATTTTATCAGATAAAACAAATGTTTATAGAACAATAGTAACTAATGTACAAGAATCTTGTTGTGCAAATTAAAGATATTGTAAAAAGAAAAATATAAAAACTAATTGTTTTGTTTTTCTTAGAATTTACCTAAATCGAATAAATATTTTCTTAATTTTAACTTTTTTAAATTAAACAACACAAATCAAAATAGAAATTTCCTTCGATTATGTCTAATCAGAAGAGTATGGGTGTGATGCTAACATCACGTATCCACATCCATCCCTGATCAAATTTTGAAAAGCATGTTGTTTTTTGTTTGACAAATAGTAATTCTTGTACAGGAAAGTCACATTACTTCCATATTTGCAAGTCTTAGTTCTACGTCTCCTTCAACACCATAGAGTACTTTATAATCCATTTCCCACTCGAATAGACCACCACCTGAACAAATCCATGGATTGAGTTCAATGATAATCATTTTTGCATCTTCCAGTATGACTGCATCAATCACACAATTCACTGGTAACTTTGGTGAATGTCTGTAGTCACTGATAACGTTTATAACCGAGTCAATATATTCCTGTGAATGATCTAACTGTGTATACCAATGTTGCTGTGTAGCTGCTGTGACTTTGCTTTCCCATATGAATAAGCGAAATTCGTTATGCGTATTGATCAAAGGATTCCACGGTTTGAGAATAATATAAGTTGACTTCTTTCGTCGTTGCCATTCGTTTTTGAGTAGTGTAGGACTCTGAGTGATTATATCCAGTACATCTTCAGCAGTGTCGACACTTTTGATATTGAAATCGTGCTTATTTGATTGTGCAGATAATTTTACAAACCATGTCGGATGGGAGGTCATAGCTATTCTTATCAATGGTAGTAGATACTCAATTGCATCTCGTTCGAGAAAGTTTTTAATTGAACGATCATTTTGTAGCCGAATATTAGTAATTTCAGCCATTTCTTCTTTGTATTTGTTTGGTACAGGTATGATATTAGCAATTCCCATAGTTTTCTCATCATGATGATATTGGTAGTCGAAGGACTCGAAATACAACATCAGCAAGTGATTCAATTTGTCAGACGCGGGAGTTTGGGGTACATAAGGAATCGGAAAGTCATCTTCTACTTTGTATTTAAGTGTGACAAGATAGTCTAGGACTAATTGTGGAAGACCATTGAAGAAGGGACGCCATAGAACGAGTTCATCATTGATTTCTCGAATCGGTGCCACTGACATGACATTGCAGGTGTTTAATGGCGTAATAATACGACTATTAACGTATTTTAATTTCATTGCAAGATATTATTTGATACAGGCGAATCGAAAAGTATTCAAAGTGAGTAAAAATAAGTTAATCTTGACGATTATCAGCGAAATTTTGTACAAAAAATCTACAACAGAAAAGCAGATACTATAATTTTTCATTATCAATTTTTTTTAACGCGTGAAAATGTGTGCTTTTACGCGTAGAAACGTCGTTTTTTTCAACGCTTGTCCGATTGGGTAGCAAAATAAAATGAATTTATTCGCTCGCTTACAGAATAACCGAAATACAGGTATATTAATGTATTTAATAATTTTGACTGCACGTGTACTGTGCCAAGGTTGTATTATTGCATAGTTTCTACAGTCACAGAATTTGAAAAAGAAAAACGAAGACATTTTATTTTTTTATCAAATGGATTTTTAGTATTTCATAACGAAAGAATCTTGAAGAATGAAAATAAATCAAATGAAGAAAATAACATAAACGTTGAAATTTGTTTTGAGAAGAGACTGGAATAACTAAATCTGCAAGATTCAATCCAAAAACATCCCGCTAGAATGCTGCGAATAGAATATATATTGAATTGAAAGTGCTTGCCGATGTGAGTGTTGATATGGAAGATTCACATCCATGCCCTCGTATTCATATAAATATAATTTTTTTTTGAAAATTTGAAAATCATAAGCATTATGAATATCTTCTTGATCAAACGTGTAGTATGTAAATTTTTCTGTTATACAAAAAGTAATTGAATTATTACCACCAAAATTCTTCGATTTCATGTAATCTCTTAGATTTTGTTTCAGGCATCTAAAATAAAACGAATAAATTTTTTAGTATATAAAACAAATAGACCTACCCTTAACCAGAGAAAGACAAAAGATAATAAACAACAAATACAAAACAGCAAAAAAAACATAACTACCAAATACTGAATGAAGCAATGGAAAGACAACAATCACTACTAAAAATACAAAAAGAAATTTATCAATCAAAATCTTCAGAAGTATTAAGAAATACTAACATGCATCAGTAAAAAACATTGAAAACATGGCAAACGAATGAGCAACAGGTCGAACACTAATAGTAAATACTTCATTTGGATACAAATATGGAATAGTACCAAGTCCAACAGAAAATAAAGCAATAAATATTAAAATAAGTAATAATATTTCAACAACTAAACCTTCTTTTAAATTTCAAATAATTAGATAATTTAGTTTAAAATATATGAAAACATACCTGGATTAATCTGTAAAAATACACAGAGTAGAATCATGATGACAACAATTATTGCTAGTGGATAAAGAATCAAAGGTCGTCGACCAAATAATTCAACTAATTTGATAGATGTCATAGTTGCAATAACAAGACACATTCCAGTTGATAGAACAGTCCAATAAACTTTATCTTCCAATATACCCATTTGTGAAAATGTTGTATGTGAATAAAATAAGACCTTAATCAAAAAATTATTTTAATTCTCGTACAATAGTTAAGATAAATTTAATTTAATACTTACTGTATTAATACCTGAAAATTGAGAAGCAGCTGTAAGAACAATACTAGTCAATAATGGCCAACGAAATCGAGATGAAGTAAAAAGACGAACTAATGATAAATCTTGTAGATTAACTGTTAATTCTTCTCTTTCAATTTCTCTTATTTCTTCTTCAATCTCACTAGTTTCACGCAACGCACGCAATGATTCTATAGCTTCATGTCGTTGACGATCTTGCATTAACCATCGTGGACTTTCATATAATGTCCAAATTAAAAAGCAACCTATTAATGAAAATATACCAACCCATGACATACCCCAATGCCATTTACTAATACATAAAATATAAAATATGTCAATTATAAGATATTTATAATTCGAAATTTACTCATGTTGTCCAAGTAACCATGGTAAACTAATAATTTGACCAAAAAAAAACACCAATAACGATTAATAATTGATGATATGTTACTATTTCACCACGCATTGTTCGTGGACTAATATCCGTCAAATAGATAGGTGTCACAACACAACTTAAACCTATGAATATGAAATATTGTACATTGTTTATATAAATATGAAAACATTTCAAAAACAAAATAATTACTTACCAGCAGACCAACCAGAAAGAAAACGTGATATATAAAATAAACTAATAGCAAAATTCTTATTTTCTAATGCTTTTTTTATTGCAAGAAGACTAGGATCACCTAGGTCATAACCATGATAAATCTCAAGTGTAAAGATCATGAGAATCGATGCTACAACTTGAAAGAGCATACAGATAATAATTGCATTTCGTCTATCAAAAAAATACTTGATATATTAATATATTAAGGAGAAATATAATTATTTTGCATACTAACCTCGTAAAATACTTATACCAATATTGTCCAGTAAAACTTCCAATTGTTGCACCAACCACGAAAAGAATGCCATGAAGTGAATCAATAAAATTTTGAGCAACATAGCTATTTGCTGGTATAGCAGGTAAATAATAGTAACCTGTATAATTTCTTGCTAGAACATTAATATAATCACATCCTGACCAAACACGTGCAATCCATTGTGATGTACTATCATCTTTTTGGCAAGGAAATGGATAACCTCGTAACCATGGAATAATAAACTATCATAGTTTAAAGCTATAAAAATATCTATATAAGAATAATAAAAACTTACACCATTGTACAGATTAGGACCACCAGTATTAACACCCATAACAAAACTTGTAGAAAATGTTACAATAATCACAGCCCATATTAATGAAAATGTCCATCTCTAGAATTTCAATATAGATTTTTAAGCTAAATTGTTACCTTCTATATAGGAAGAATAGTATTACTTAATGTCGTGTTTAGCTTCATATTTTAAATGACTATATTAATATACAAGGATTGGACTGTGTACAAATCTGTCTATATCATATTTTTAGAATGATTAAATATCTGTTAGATTCACAGAAGGTTTGTTAACATTTTATCTTCAAATATAACATTTTTAACATAAAAAGCATCTCTAAAATAGTCTTTAGAATTTTACTTAAATCTTAGGAATAAGTTAATTGATTTTCTCAACAGTTATATATATATACCTGATTATTGCTAGTAGAATGGAGTTGTTCTGACGATGTAATTGAATTTGGGGGAAACATTGTGGATTCTATTTTGTGTGTATTCATGTTTACTGTTATTGGTTTCATATTTAATAATCGAATGTATTATACTATAATGAAGAAGAAAAAAAAAAGAATGAATATAGAGTTTTTCTTATTTCTAGCTCTATACGCCTTAAAAATGATATGTTTTCTTCGTATTTACATCTTTATGTAGATTTTGAGACACACTAGAAGATTATAAGAGATTATTTTTCTAATTAATGATGAATGTATTAAAATGATATGGTAAAATATCCTGTTCTCTTGTGGAGTATCAGTATATCTTATTAGCATATATAAGCACAAATATAAATAGTATTGTTTTCGCCAATTCTATTTTTATGAAAACTTATTATAAAATGATTGTTTATTATCTTTTGATTTAATCAGTTAGAAAAGATAAACCTCTATACCATAGTTTATAAGAATAATCAGAAAGCATGAGAATTCGAACATTATCTATTTTTATGAAACAATTAATATTATAATAAATGCCTATTTGTACTGTGATCTAAGAAGATAATTACAGAAATTGTATATCTTAACTCTGAATAATCAACAAAAAAAAGAATACAGTAAGCGCATACGATATAAGTTACTCCCTTTAATCAGCTAATTATTTGTATATAATCTCGAAATATATACTATCAGGTACAAAATTTCATGAACAATAATGAGTCAACAATTTTCATTTATTCTGATTGACAAATGTTTATATTATGATGTTATTATAATAAAAATATCTAGGATTAGAAGTTTCTACTATATATGTATATATTCATTAATGATCAGTCATTTTTCGAATCAATTCGTTTAGTTATATCTATTAAAACTTTACAAAAATAGTTCTAACAGTTAATGAAATATTTGAATAGATTGACAAAGTGCAAATAGTATTAATAAAATAATTTGTATGACGAGAAATGACAAGAAGATGATATTTTGTTTTCTTCACCTTTGAAGATCTTTTATTTTTACTAACTGTTTGATCAATGGTAACAAATTTAATAAACTATGAAGTAACAGTTCTCGAAATAAATAAGACAAAAACCATCTTGAGGGTGTGGGTGTGAATACTGTCTTCATTTATTATACACCCACACCCTCAAGATTCATTAGACAAACAATTATTATTGTCCAGAAGACGATATCTTTCAGAATAGGACGCAAAATCTTTTTAAATTAGAAAATAAGCAGAGCGAGGACATCAAAGCAAAAAATGAAACGCATTTTACCAGCAAACATTTTAAATCAAAAGAAAATGTCGTGATATTTTGTATGTCATTAATATTTTTTAGATAGAAATTGAAACTTGAATATTCGATCATTTACGAGCTGCGTCAGTTGAATCCAAGTTACCATTTGAAACTTGTGAAGTGATCAATTTTTTTGCTGCATAATCTTCAAAACAAGCAGCAGCATATTGTGCTTCTTCATTAGTTTTAGCTGTTGCAACAAGAAAATCTTCTAATGAACATAGACCATCAGATCGAACAGGACAACCAATTGTGTGAAGTGGAAGTGTTTTTCATTGAGTTGCATACGAATGAATTTTTTTCCATCTGTAATATTCGGTTTTGAATAAACGGTTGATTTCGTTTTTTTCACTTTGGGATTCGATGAAGAGCAAGTTAGAACTTCAGTGAATAATCGAGCTCCAAATGGTGTCATTTGTGAAAGATCAAAATTTTCAGGAGGATTTGGTGCATGAGGAATGTCGTAGGGGAGATCGGTACTGGGACCTTTGAAGTATTCCATACCAAGAGCAGTCAATACCGAAACGATGATATCATCATGACTATAGTCCAAATAGAAAGGCTGTCCCAAAGGAAAAGTAGTAGGATTATTATCAAGAGTTGAATTCACAGAGCTTTCACTGATATCGATATACCGATTTTGAAGACGGGCCAACAGTTCTTGAACATATCCGATACCTTGTGCTCGACCAGTAGGATTTCCAAATGAGTAATCTCCATAGAATTGAATTGAGAGAGAATAGCCGAAATCAATCCATTCTTGATCTGTAAATAAACTACAAAAGTCTGAACTGCCGAAGTACGCCACCTCATATGGACAGATAGTTTGCATTGCGTATACATCCATTGCTGTTAAATTGAAATCGGAATTAAGATGAGTTGAAAACCTTCCAACAGCATCTTTAAGATAGTTATTATAAAACACAGCCTGAGCGGTATCTCCAATGAACACAATAGTGGGATCGTTATAATTAGTACACGAATCATATGACGCAAGTGTATTGTTCTCTGTTCCGCCTTCAGGTATAATCAAGAGATCATAACTTGTATTTGATGATCCTCCATCTGGATTATTAAAGAATCCAGAAGCCCACCATCTTGCTGATTCATATATTCGAGTTTGACTAGTTGTTCGTATAAATGGTTTTCGCCGTGGACTTCCATCAGCAAAAACGTTGAGACTGTCGTTCCATTGAGTAGAGTTACTCATATTCTCATACAGAAATCGTCCATATCGTGTCCAAAAGTTGGAACCAGAAGTGAATGCTGTCGTTGAACCGATGGCAGTCAATAAATTAAGACCTAACTTATATTCGTACTTATTCAGAAAGGCAAGTGAACCAGTCGCACGGAGTTTCCCATAACGAGAATCGTTTGTAACTTTGTCAGCGAATCGTTGAGTGTTTCCACCGTCATCGAAGGTTCCGCTTGGAAATCGTTGACCATGCCGATGCAAGATATGAACTTGAGACGTAGTGCAATCGGAAGGAATTTCATTGTATTTAACTCCAAATCCGTTTGATGGACGATATGGAGATAAGTTTCCCCAATACCGACTGATATCAAATTCCTTTCGACTCAATGGACTAAAACATAAAATTAGATATAAATCATATTAATACCTTTTTTTTTAGGTTTCTAATAATCTAAAGCGTGGGTGTGAATGCATAAAAATACTGAGATATCTATATGCACACCCACATCGTCTGTAATAAACCATATGATAACGAAGGAAATATGAATTGTGTAACTGTAACTGACATATCTTACCGTTTAGTCGTCGTTTCCGTTGGTTTTGTTGTTGTTGGATACTTCACTGAAGATCCCTGTGAAAGCAAAACAAATTTAGTGAATGAGAAAATAATCGATAAGGCTTTTTATGAGCCTTGACAAGACCTGACCATTCAAAAGAATTGTTGTTTTTAAACTCTATTTATATTGTTGTTCAGAAGCCTGTCAAAGTTCACTCTATGCATGAATTCAATCGGCTTCAAGTGAATGCCAATGGCTAGTATAATCTTAGTTAGCTTTATTTTGAGCAGTTCTCTAGATAAGTTATGAAAGTTATACATTACTTGAACGTTTTGACGTAGGTCGATAATGAGTTCGTGGTTTTTGTCTACTTTTATATCGATTTGGGGATTCTCGGTAAGTATTTCTTTCTTCTTTCTCTTCATAATCATCACTATCATTGTCATCATCTTCTTTGTAGTCGGATATATGCTCAATCACTGTTTCTGATTGTCTAGGTATAGAAAACGAGCCATAGTTTGTACGAATATCACCCATGAATCTATTTGTTGATGGATCAATTTTTGGTATTTCTGGACCTTTCACTATGATATAATCAAAATTTATAAAAAAAACAAAACATCAATGAAAACAAAACTAACAGGAATTTGTTTGAAATAATGTAACCATATCAATGTTCCCATTTGGCCGTCTACCACTACTTGTTAGACTGATATAGCCCGATGCAATCAATTCTGCAATCGAAAAACGTTTCCCATATCTATTAATCAGCGACGGTAGCACGTATACTATCAATGAATATTTATTATTAACACTATTTTTACATTTAAATACTCACAGCCGTGTTTAGTATTGATAATTGTTTGTTTATCTCGTCGATTGGAAAAGATTGGAATCCGTGGCATTAAATTAATAAATGGACCTTCTAAGGCTGCAAAGGAAAACATAATGAATGAAATAAAGAAGCTTTTACAGGCAGAAAAGCATACGAAAGTGTCGTCTATTATATCGTGCGACAGGAACATAAAGTCGATGAGAAGATGATCGACCACCAGTTCGGATTGATTCTCGAAAATAAAGACGCATGTGACCGACAATTTCAGGTCCGTCAGATTCCTATTTAATTAAATACAAAAGAAAGTATTTGTATTGACAAAAAATTCTTACTTCATCATACGACGACAGTCGCAATTGGGGAAGTTGTTCACTCTGATCATTGCCATCATTGAAATCGTCTAAATTCATCAAGATTATTATTACATTCGGCAAAAAAGCACCATGTAAGTTCATCATCGATGAATAGTATTACACCAATTCGTTTGCAGTTGATTAAAAAATATAAGTTTCATTTTGATCTAATGTAAACTTTTTTCTGAGTACCATCTCCTAAGGATCGGCGATTCTCCATTGCTCAATACTATGCTAGTATTAAATTATTTTATAAACATTAATACAAATTCACTAAAAAAATGTATTAATTAATGGAATGCTAACGCTCAGGTACCATTCATAATTCGATGTATTAAAAAGTAACCCCCCCTCCTCTTCTGCAATAGAAGGCCTCCTGACTTTCTCTAGGCTGTAAGCATAGGGTTTCGTAACGGGAATTGATCTATCTCCACATATCGTTTTTGTCAGTAACGTAGTGCAAACGAGTGAATATTAACATGGTCATTTGTTGCACGCCCACACCCATCCGCACTCTTGTTCAATTTTCGTGTTACTTCTGTAAAATTTCTTGGCCACTTACCTTGCTTTTGAACTGCAAGTGTATTGCTTGTGTTCAATATGTGATAACCAATATATCCAATAATACTAATACTGACAAGAAAAATAAGCAACATAACAAAGCCCATATTTCGAGTTTGTTTCCACCATGGCCTAAAAAATATAACATAATCAAAAAAATAATCATTTACCGTAGTCAAGCAGTTAGGATCACTTATAAGTATTTATAAAGAATTCGAGAACCTACGAAGAGTTAGAATGGTTTAAGAATACTTTTCAGTGCACTTCTTCGTAGAATATTCCCGTCGAGTTCTAGCTGCAGATAGCATCACTATTTTATCTGGGATTTATGTAGCTCTTGACGTCTTTTATAAATACCCGATTGCTTACCGCAGCCCCAAATGATGCTTTTCTTCTTGCGTATCCAATACGGTTCGATTTTGTTCATCGCTGCTTCTCACATTCCGTAATTCCAAATCTTTTCTTTCGATATCGTCGCCTGTTGGTGTTCGAATATATTCGGATTTAAATGTATGCATTAAGTGCTATCTATAGTATTAGACACAAAGGGAGAAAAGTTGATTTAAATCATTTGAAAATGAAAATGAAATTATTTTGAAACACTAAATCACAAGAATGGGTGTGAGCGGGTAGGCATGCGTGTGGGTGTGGGTGTCTCATATCTATGGCATCCAGACCCACACCCATCCAAAGATATTTCATCTTGTTCAAGTAAATAAACGCCATGATTTTGTTGAAGTGCTTCAAAATATGCTCGTTATGAGTCATCCTTCTTTTTTCATACAGCCACAATTTCTCCACCATTAATACGAGCTCGAGAGACATAAACAGCTGCTTGTTTTTCATTGGGAAAGCAATAGACAGCTTCAGTAACTTTTGTTTCATGATTTTGGAATACCTATGTAACTGTTACATCAACAGCAAAAGATCGAATTGCTGCTTCGACATACACTCGTTTAAGTGAAACATGCTTCTTTTCTA